TAAAATAACCCCTGAAATGAAAAAATTGCCACCCAAATTGGACACTGGCCTTATCTGAACAATAACAAAAATACTACACATAAAACTTCAGGTAAAATAGTACTTAGAGGAAAAATGTATAGCTTTACTAGTGGTAAATAGTAAGCTAAGCACACATCTCAAATTAGAAAAGGGACAGCAAAATAAACTCAAAGATATGATGAAAGTAAATAGTAAATAATCTTGAAGTCAATAAGGTGAAAAACAAGTAGCTGATGAAGTATGATACATCAACCATTTCAAATATTAGGTTTTTTGGAAGGGACTGATACAATTAATAGACTGCTGGTGAAATTGATCAAAAAGAAAGAGAATAATTACACAAATCTAATACCAGAAATGACAAAGGGAATTGTACTAAAGAGGTTGCAGATACGAAAAATATAATAGGAGAATCTTATGGAAAGCATCTAGCCAATAAATTTGGATAAAATGAAATAGATTCTCAAACGTGTGTTCACCAGAACAACAGCATCAGTCTTGTCTAGTGTCTTGTTAGAAACACAAACTGTGGGCCTTCACCACAGGCCTACTGATGAGAAACTCTGGGGATGGAGCTTGAAAATCTGTGTTCTAACAAATCCTCCCAATGATCCTGATGCTCTGAAGTTTGAGAATTGCAGAACCATTCCAAAACAAATGGTACACAATTTTCACTTAGGTGAGTGCACAACTGGTCTCAATGTTTATTGTTAGAATTAAATAAATGGTCACTTTTGAGGAGGAAAGAACTGTCTTTTTAAAGAGGTTTAAATAGTATAAATGAAGCTTGGATTCTGTCAAAATAAAATTAACATATCTTTTTATTGATTTCATGAGACTGACATTGCATGTGAAAAACCAAATATTCATTATCAAAAACTGCTTTGAAATACTTTAAAATATCTCACAGAAATATTGAAAAGTTTTTTTTATTTGCAATTTGCTAGTTATGGAACCTCTCTATGTATTCCTTTGTCTGTCTTTTACAATGACATATTCAGCTCATGTAACCTTGTTGTCATTCCAAGATCATTATTTCACACTAAGATTTTTAAGTTCACCAAGAAGTTTTTTAAATTCCAAAGTGCATTTCAAAAATACCCTCATGAGTCTAACATAACACTCAGAATTAAAGCCACATTTCTGAATCACAAAAATTTCTCCTATTCTATTTGTTTCACTCAGCTTTATTTAGTTGCTATCTACACACTTATTGTATAAATGACAGATTTCCAACCAAAAGCTCAGTAAACACTCAGAGTAGTCAACTTTAATCATAAACAATCACAAAACAAACCTTAAAGCATTTATATCAATGTGAAGCTTTGTAGGAAATTGTTTCCTCAAAGTATTGTGGATGATTATTATGAATAAAATAAATGAGGTAAAGTAATGTTACAATAATGATCTGGAACTGTGAGTCAAATGAGTGAAGATTAAAGGCACAAAGAAACTCTGCCTAATAAACAAGCAGATAACTGCTGGAAAGAAAAATATGTTCCTCGTTTGAAATTAACTGCCAAACATTCTCAACCTACACAAAACTGTCATAAAGGACATCTAAATCTGTCCTTGTTTGTAACATGTGTTGTGACAAGATTTGACAGTTTATCAAAAAACTATAATTGCCACCTAAACATCTAGCATTTTGTCAACTGCAAATATGTTTAGTGAAAGCATTTATTTCATTTAAAATACAACATCCATTTTTCTTCACTTTCTGAAAGGACTGACTGAGTTTCTTTTTTCTCTAGCCGACCAAGCTGCATCAGAGCTCTCTTTGAATTATTTATGTTGGAATTGTGAAGGGTAAAAGAATAATCAGTAAAGCAAGAAACTATTACCAAGGTAATATATATATACATATATATTCTGGGTATTGACTCAAAAGACCTTCAAAATACAATAATTCTCACAGATCCATAAAGATGACACTTAAATATGCTTGCCTTGGGAAGGAGAAAGATAAGGCATTGTCTCTAAATCACAATTTTTGTTTCCAGAGTAATTTAAGAAACAATGTCCTTAATAGAAGGTGCTATTCAATAGGCATCATTCCTACCTGTAACTTGTGAAAAGCAGTCAATGATAAAACAGACGTCTCTCTCAACCTACAGAGACCAAAGTAAACAGACGCTAAATCCCCTTGCAAGAGACCAGGTAGGTAACAGAAATGTCAGAATAACAAAGCTACTTCCCTGATACTACTAATGGTTCATTTCTTTCTGGGAAAAGGTTGTTTTTGTTTTTTGTTTTTTGTTTTTTTTTTTTAAACAAAAACTTTCCAGTCTCGTGTTTGGGATTTTGTTCTTTATTGTAGTTGCTTGGTAAAAAAGAAAAAAAATATGCAAATATTTTGTAGTACTTTTAAATTTTTCCTTTGTTCTGATAAATCTCAAAGAAAAGGCTTAAAAGTGTATAGTTGATACCGCCCTACTTGGAAATTCAGGAATCCCACATTTTAATCCACACTCTGCCTCTATTTAGCTGATAGATCCCAGGCAGGTTGCTTCATTTCTCTGAGCCTTAGTTCCCTGTCTGTGAATTGTAATATCAGATTAGGTGGTCTCTAAGGCCATATCTATCTTTAACATTTTATGACTGTAGACAAATTTCTGGAACTATAACATATAGCAACAGCTAGAGCTTGAAACAAAAATAGCAGCAAGACAAAAATTGCTCCTCCTTAACACCTCAAGGAAAATGCAACCATGTATGGGTTTTAAATGTTTACATTAGCATTTAATCCTATTTAGGTAATATTAAACCTGTTTATAATCTGTTTTGTTTTCTTAAAAAAACTGAAAAATGTGTGGCACACTGAGAATAGTAAGAGAAAAATAAATTGAAACTACAAATACTTTTTAGTGCTTCTAAATTAAGCCACGGGATTTTCTTTAGAAATCACTTTATGTAGTCTGGCTAAGGGTGAGAATTATGTGGTATAGGTAGGTCTGTTGATTTTTTTATGTTTTTGATAAAAAGAACACAAATGAAGGGTTATAGACAGAAATGGGCTGGCATACACTGTCAACCAGGAAGAGACTGAACTAGAGAAACAAGCATGTTGATGTCAGGAGAGAGGTGATTGGATCAGCAGCAAATCATTTTGGTGTAATATTTAAAACATAGCTGTTTATTTGAGTTTATAGTGACACCTCATTCAATATATAAAACTACCTTTTTATAGCTAAGTAATGTTTTTCACAGACATTGTTGAATCTTACCCATCTTTGTTGCCTACCCCATTTCTTTTTTTTTTTTTTTTTTTTTTTTTTTTTTTTTGAGACGGAGTCTCGCTCTGTCGCCCGGGCTGGAGTGCAGCGGCCGGATCTCAGCTCACTGCAAGCTCCGCCTCCCAGGTTCACGCCATTCTCCTGCCTCAGCCTCCCGAGTAGCTGGGACTACAGGCGCCCGCCACCTCGCCCGGCTAGTTTTTGTATTTTTTTTTAGTAGAGACGGGGTTTCACCATGTTAGCCAGGATGGTCTCGATCTCCTGACCTCGTGATCCGCCCGTCTCAGCCTCCCAAAGTGCTGGGATTACAGGCTTGAGCCACCGCGCCCGGCTGCCTACCCTATTTCTTATCCCATTTCTGAGCTTATCCTATTCATGAACCCAACACATTAAGGAAGCCCAGAAGTGTGGCGAGAAAATCTATTAAATTATTTGGTTATTTTACAATATGAAAAAAATGATGATTTGGTTTAGGCTAAATGAAAACGTCCTGGTATCCAAATATCAGGCACACAATTAGCAAGATATAAATGGTTGATCTGTATCTGATGCCTCCATTATTTTTATGAAATTATTGGCATCTATGGTCCTTTCTACCTCCTTCCTCACTATCTCCAGCCCCAATACACCATGGAAGCTGTATGCTTAAAATTTGCTAACAAACATTTAATTACCAAATATATTTTGTTCATCTTTTTTATTATAAAAGTAATAAATGTTCAAATGCCACACTGACAACAGTAAAATATAACAGTCCTCCTTCATTCTCAGCTCTCACGACCTACTCCCCTCTCCAAAGGTAATTATTATAAAGAGGACTTCCATGCTACTTGGATGCTTTCATTATCACATAATCTTAAATACATAAACATAATACTATGCATATTTTTGTGACTGACTTTGTACCTTTAGAAAAATACCTAGGAGATATTTCCACATGATTACACTTAATCTGTTTGATGGTTGCATATGTATACACCATTAATTATTTGGTAATTTACCTATTGATGAACATTTGTTGGTTTCCAGATTTTCCTTTTATAAACAATTCTAGGGCAATTACTGTTTGTCATGCACCATTTTTGTACCGTAGAAGTAGTATAATACCTGATATATAGGAGGTGTTCACAAAATATTTATTGAATGAATGAATACAGCAACACTACTATGTAGCCATATATATTTGGGGTGCTTGTGAAAATTTCTCTGAAATAGATTCCTAGAAGTATACATGATGAGTCAAAGCTTATGTGCAAAATTAGCCATGCAAAACCTACATATTTATACATTCCATCCAAATAGAAGACCTTATCCATCTTAACATTTTGACTCCTTGATGTGTGAAAATAGCGTTTTCTTGATTACCTCAATTGTTTCACGTTTCTTAACCACTTATTTTTTTACTGTGATTGCCTATTTATGCCATTTTTCAACTTTCTATTTTATTGTCTTTTTCTCACTTCATTGGGGAAATTCTTTCTAAAATAATCCTTTGCATATACTTGAGTAGGTAATTTTCCTTTTAAACTTGGGTTTTGCTTTGTGGAAGTTTTATGTTTTTATGCATTCAAATTTGTTTAAATAGCCCTAGGAAACTAATACTGGTGCTAACAGAAAAAAAATTCCTTACAGTGTAAATTCTTGATTATTTAGTTTAAAAGTGTGAAGTGGGAGATGGCAAGCAAAAGTGTGAAGTGGGAGGTGGCAAGCAGGAATTTTTTCAAAAGACCCAGGGTCAATTTGGGACCACGCGCCGCAAGGGGGAAGGGACTCTAACGGTTGAGTAACAACCGGAAGCCGTTAGAGTCTGTGCTTCACTTCCGTTCCAGTCTCAGTGGCAGCTGGATCGCTCGACAGAGTGCCTCTGGTATTTGGCCAGGATGCCGAATATCAAAATCTTCAGCGGCAGCTCCCACCAGGACTTATCCCAGAAAATAGCCGACCGCCTGGGCCTGGAGCTAGGCAAGGTGGTGACTAAGAAATTCAGCAACCAGGAGACCTGCGTGGAAATTGATGAGAGTGTGCGTGGAGAGGATGTCTACATCGTTCAGAGTGGTTGTGGCGAAATCAATGACAGTTTAATGGAGCTTTTGATCATGATTAATGCCTGCAAGATTGCTTCAGCTAGCCGAGTTACTGCAGTCATCCCATGCTTCCCTTATGCCCGACAGGATAAGAAGGATAAGAGCCGGGCCCCAATCTCTGCCAAGCTTGTTGCAAATATGCTGTCTATAGCAGGTGCGGATCATATCATCACCATGGACCTACATGCTTCTCAAATTCAGGGCTTTTTTGATATCCCAGTAGACAACTTGTATGCAGAGCCAACTGTCCTGAAGTGGATAAGGGAGAATATCTCTGAGTGGAAGAACTGCACTATTGTCTCGCCAGATGCTGGTGGAGCTAAGAGAGTGACCTCCATTGCAGACCAGTTGAATGTGGACTTTGCTTTGATTCATAAAGAACGGAAGAAGGCCAATGAAGTGGACTGCATGGTGCTAGTGGGAGATGTGAATGATCGTGTGGCTATCCTTGTAGATGACATGGCAGACACTTGTGGTACAATCTGCCTCGCGGCTGACAAACTTCTCTCAGCTGGAGCCACCAGAGTTTATGCTATCTTGACTCATGGAATCTTTTCTGGCCCAGCCATTTCTCGCATCAACACTGCATGCTTTGAAGCAGTGGTAGTCACCAATACCATACCTCAAGAGGATAAGATGAAGCATTGCTCCAAAATACGAGTAATTGACATCTCCATGATCCTTGCAGAAGCCATAAGGAGAACTCATAATGGGGAATCTGTTTCCTACCTGTTCAGCCATGTTCCTTTATAACAGAATAACTTCTAGGTTATGCTATTTTAAAATAAAATAAGATTAATAAAAATAAACCTTGCCTTTATTTTTTCTTAGGTTTGATTAAAAGTTCAGCAGAAGAGTCAGCTTGCTCCAGTGTAACTTTCTACATCCCACATCAGGTATATAAGAGTTTACCTTAAATTAGGGAAAAACAGGTTAAGAATAATCACTATGATTTCCTGGCTGGGTTGTCTCATCTGGCTTCTTTGATGATTTTGTGAGCCCCGCAGCTTTAACTATAGCCCTTCTGCTGCAAGATTTCAGGCTTTTGACGGTGTTTTGTAGAGGTATTTGAAAGTGATTGGAAAACTTACGTGTGAATGCTTCAGAGTTTTCTTTTTTCAGAACAACTAGCAATAAAGCCACCCAATCTACCCCTTGGCCCCAACCCCCACTTTGTGTCACAAATTCTCCAAGTTCTATGCTCAGTTGCAGCAAGAGCCCTGAGCAACCACAAAATTAGTTCTGGTTGCTGAACCCCCTGAAAGGCAGGAATAGGTAACTTTCAGCTTCAGCAGCCACTGGGATCTTGAGAGGAAGCAACAAAGGACAGCAAATGCTTCTTGAGAGGAGGAAGATAGATCTGTCACCATCTATTTGGAGACTATCTATCTTGGATTCTTAGTTATACCTGTTGCTTTTGATTTAGCTTTACCTCCACCCATCTTGACCTTTTCCTTGCTAAATATCCTACTGGACCCAAATGGTCAGGGTACCATAGTCTTCTGGAAAGCAAACCCACTTTTTGCTATGTAATCGCTAATATTTATATTAGTTATTTTTGCTGTAACTTAATCTTCCTTAGTCTGTTACCACCATGGTAGTAGATGTTAGGTGACATTGTAGTGCCTTTTGTTAAATTTAAACATTTAATTATTATCTCCCTTCCTTGTATTTTGTTGGCCCCTCAAATGACCTCAGATTTATATTTTTAAAGTGTTTTTATTGTCCTTTTTAGGGAAAACCAATAAAATATCTGCATATGTGTGTGGGGTGGAGAGGAGTGGTGCAGAGCACCACACCTAGATTTATCATGTGAAATTTCTGATCTCCAAGAAAAAGAAAATCGCTAAGAATTTCCAAAGAGTAAAAAACAAGAAAGTTTTAAAGAAACAATGTTCAGATTGCTTTAAATTTTTCATTTGAACTCTTGGGCAGTAAGCAAAATGGAATAATTTCCTTGCAGTTCTAAAGGAATATTATTTTTAACCTAAATTTCTGTGCTTAGCCAAACTATCATTGACATATGAAGACAATATTAAGGAACTCAGAAAATACTACCATTAATGTTTCCTGAAAGTACTTCTTGGAGATACTGAAAATAAAAAACATACACAGCCAAGAAGAACACAGAGAATAAAAGAGATGGTGGTAAGCAAAAAAAAGAAGTGAAACTGATAGAAAAATCATTTTTATGAAGTTACTATAAGGATTAAGGCCGTTATTAAGGTAAAACTCACATAAAAATTAGGCCACATTATGAAGTAATTTTTTAAAAAATCTGTAAAATACCAGATGATACCCACAAAATATGGGAGGCTGGGAGGAGTTAGGCTTAGTGTAAATATATTCAGGACCTTGTCTAGTTTTGGATGGAGGTTATCAACAACAATCATTCACATTATAGAAAAACCTGAGTTTAAACAACGTATTTTCTAAAATTCAAGGGCAAGGAGCAAGCCAGAGAATAAAGGAATAGGATAAATAGCTTCCAGACTCCTAGAAAGAAAAAAAAAGGTGGAGTGGGAGTTTGGGGGAGAATAAGCAAAACTCCACAAATCAAGCTGAAGATAGGAAATAAGAAAGAAAAGATAGCAAGGATAAAGTGCCAAATATATATTATCACAAAAGTCAATGGGTTAATTTTATAAAAGATACATTTTTAGATTGGGTAGCTAAAATACCTAATAATATGCTATTTATAGGACACACATCTAAAAAGTTTGGTATAAAGAGATAGAGAAAAATATACCAAGTAAATGGTAACAAAAAGAAATGAGCAATCATAGTTTTAGTCAAAACAAAAGTGGAACGTGCTTTGCTGATTAAACCCACCAATAAGTTATAATCATCATGAATCTTTATCCACCTAACAACTCAACATGGAAATATAAAAAGAAAAGCAAAACAGTGAGAATATAAGAAGAAATGAATAATGTACAATCATAATCAAAGAAGGAAATTTTGACAAAACTCTCATAAATTATCAAGAAAAGGTATTATAGAGTTTAAATGACTTCATTATCACAACTTAATATAGAAATTAAACATAATTTACAATTCAAGCATGCATGAAGCAAATATAATAGGTTTCACAGGTTTTAAAGATTTTTTAAAAAGAAAAAATATATAATAGTTCATAAAAAGTCTTAATAAATTTTTAAAAGAAATGTATGTAGACCATATATAGCACAGCACCTTTACTACTATCATCTTAACAATATTATTAAAAAATAAAACTCTCAGTAAAATAGGAATAGAACAAAGCTTGCTTGACCTGCTAGAGAAAATCTGGCATAGACCTAATTAAGGGCATACTTAATGATGAAACATTGAAAACATTATCATTAAATTTCTAAACCAATGGGAACAAGGCAAGGAAAAAAAGAGTGGTATCATTACCAGAAGGAAAGACTTTCATTATTTGAAGATGTCATGATTGCCAACAAAAATTCCAACAATCAAAAGAAAAACTCAGAATTCATAAGAGAGGTCAGTAAAGTGAAAGTACGTAAGATAAAATGACATCTTTCCTAAATACCAGTAAAATATAATTTTAAAACATAATCGAAAGAAATGTTTCCACAACCTGAAACAATAAAATCTACAACATGACCAGTAACAAATCCTAAAACTGTAGGATTTGTATGAAAAAAAGTTGCTAAAGGATATAGAAAATACCTGAATAAATACATTATGAACTTGGATAGGATGAACAATATTGCAAACATGATAGTTTCCTATCAAGTCAGTGTGAACCCAATCAAAATCTTAAAGGGATTTTTTTTTTTTCTTTTTGTCAGAGTCTCCCTCTGTCACCCAGGCTGGAGGGTAGTGGCCCCATCTTGGCTCACTGTACCTCTGCCTCCCGGGTTCAAGCGGTTCGCCTGCCTCAGCCTCCCCAGTAGCTAGGATTATAGATGTCTGCTACGACACCCTGCTAATTTTTGTATTTTTTTTTTTTTTAGTAGAAAAGGGATTTCACCATGTTGGCCAGGCTGATCTTGAACTCCTGACCTCAAGTGATCTGCCCTTCACAGCCTCCCAAAGTGCTGAGACTGTAGGTGTGAGGCACCTGGCCAAAGGGATTTTTAAGAAAAGAGAACTTGACACAAGCTTTTCTTAAAGTTCATCTGGAAAAGTAAGTAAGCAAAAATATTCAAGATCTTTTTTGCATTACAATACATTAAAACATTTCAAAGCTACAGTGATTAAAATGTGGTATTGATGCAGGAATAGACACATAAATTAATATTGCAGAATGTATATTCCTGAAACAGACTCAGGTATACTTACAGGAATTTAGTACACACATGCCCTATTTAGTGGAGGGACTGTGTTACTGGAAAGAGGTACATAACTGAATCAACTGTATCAGAGAATTGCTATCGCAAAGTCCCTATAGAGATGCTTTCCTGATATCCTGCCTTGGCAACCACTTCTGCGGTCTACTCAGATTCTCCGAAGTGGGGATTAGACTCCTGCCATAGTTTTTTCCTAGCTATCTTCATACAATTGTTGGTCAATCCAGATCACAGTGATGCTTAGGATGGCCTTTTTAATGTCAGTTAGCACTTACCAATATCTAGTTTCTGCACGATCTTAACCTTCTGCTTCCTTGACTGTATCCTGGGAAGTGCCTCTTCAAAAGCCTCTCCGCGGCCTCTACTTTTAAGACCCATTGTAACACTATTTTCTTGCTTATGTGAAGCATATTCAACATTATTATTTTCACACACACAGTCATTTGGGACAAACTTCTCTACAGAATACAAAATAAACAAAAGACAGACCACTGAATAGTAAATAACACATGCTGCAGAATATATTCACCCTATGGTAGCTAAGCAGTGGACCTCCTAGCTGAAGCTATAGTGTTCTTATGCTTATTGCCTGAAAACTGTTTTATACAGTTCGTCACACTACACACCAATTCCCATTGGCTGAGAGCTCACAACCATATTTAGAGAAAGAGAGAGAGAGGGAGGGGGGATTCTGTTAAAATGTCATTAAATCAACTCAGGAATGGTGGCATATGCCTATAGTCCCAGCTACTCCAGAGGCTAAAATGCTGAGATGAGAGAATCACTTGAACCCAGAAGTTAAGAGACCAGCCTGGGCAACATAGGAAGACCTCATCTCTTTAAAATAAATAAATAAAAAATAAAAAATAAAAAGGCATTACATCAAATATTCATATATATGATAAAACAGGCATATTATAGATAAATAAAGCATTGATCAATCAATAGGGCCAGATAACTAGCTACTGATTGGGAAACCACAGCTTTATCTCATCCTTAAATGATGCACAAGAATAAATTCCAGAGGAAAGGTTATAAAAAACAGAATTGTAAAGCACGAGAAAATGTGGAATCACATATACCTTTATAGTTAAAACGGCCTTATTTATTTATATATTTATTGAAACAGGGTATCCCTCTGTCACCTAGGCTGGAGTGCAGTGGCTAGCGATCTCGGCTCACTGCATCCTCCAGCTCCTCTGGGATCAAGCAGTCTTCCTAAGTAGCTGGGATTACAGGCGCATGCCACCACACTTGGTTAATTTTTGTATTTTTAGTAGAGATGGGGTTTCACCATGTTGGCCAGGGAGGTTGGAACTGCTGGATTCAAGAAATCCTCCCGACTCAACCTCCCAAAGTTCTGGGATTACAGGTGTGAGCTGCCACATCTGTCCGAGAGCCCTTTTTAAGAAGGATACAAAACTCAGAACTCATAAAAGATATGACTGAAACATGACTTCTGGGATTCTACAGCCAGAAACAGACTGATAGAGATAC